CATAGGTAGGGTCCCTAGACCTGGCTGGTGATCAAGGCCGATCTGTGGGGCGACCAGCAGGGTGATTGGGACCCCTACTCCCACCCGCCTTGGCTGGCCTGGCGCCGCCCACTTGTCAGCACCGCCCCCTACTGCCGCTACTTGCTGGTCAGGGCCTGCAGGCTGGGGACAGCTGCTGCATTGAGTGTCTGCCCCGTGATGGTCAGTGTGCATCATAGTGACTGGTTATTCCCTGGGTCGTTCTGCAGTTCAGTCGATTTGCATATTAGGATTTTATATAGATAGATAGATTTAGAAGTCAGAATACTAAGTGAGGGAAACAATTTCCAGAGTCATCCTATATAATAAAGAGGGACTATGCAAATTGACTGTTTCTGCCCCACAAAGATGGTGGGGCCCACAGGGGGGGGGGGGGTGGTTTCTTTAACACAAGATGGCGGAGGCCGAGTTCCCGTAATGAGTCTTAATGAGCAATCAGCAGGGACCTGAAGCTGTGCCCGCCCCCCGCCACCACCTCATGGGGCTTGACAGGGGACCTCAGGCTGCTCCCCCTGCCCTGGTGCCAGGCCAAGGGACATAAGGTCATGCCCCTCACCTGGCAGGGCTTGATGGGGGACCTGAAGCCATGACCCCCACCTGGCAGTGCTTGACGGGGGACCTCAAATCGGAGGAAGATTTTCATATACATTTTACTAATTTTCTTTCATCTCTGACACTTCTATTATAGAGAAAGGTCAAATAGCAATATTAAAATATTTCCTCTAATCCTTTTAATGTGCATGAATTTCGTGCACCAGGCCACTAGTATGTATAATAAAACAATATTTCTTTTTTTATAAAACAACATTTAAGCAAAGGTTTTAAAAACATGTGAAATGAGTGCTGCATGCTATTTATGAACATATACATGTTAGTTATAAGTATAAAAACATGGTAGAGAATAATACAAATCAATTTTAGGACAGTGGCTATGTCTGGGGAAATAGATGGAATTGAGATTGCAAAGAACACAGGAAATTTCACCTAAATTTGTAATTGTTTGTTTATTTATTTATTTAATGAAATATGAAATACATGTTGGCCTTTTCTAATAAAGAATGAGATGATTTATTATATTACTCTTCTGAATGTTTGAGATATTTAATTTTATTTTAAGCAGTAATTGAAGTGTTAGTGAAGTGAGGGTACTTTTCTGGTGATTTTTTTCTTATAACAGCCTGTCCTTATTTTATAAGTAAAAAGATTTCCTTACATTTCTAGAGGAAGTAAGAATTACTAGAATAATTTTTAGTTTCACAATTTCCTTTACAATTGAAAACTTGATAAGTAATTTATAAATGACAATGAACTCTGTAAATGTCAAGTAGGTACAATTACTGTAGTATCTCTTGAAAAGATAAATCAACAGAATATGTTTGTTTTATTAAAAAGGTGCACCACCTTCTCTGAAAGGATCACATCATTTGCAGACCATTCTAAATTATCAACTTAAAAATTAGCCTGCTGTATTTGGTTAAACATTTAATTAACTCACCCCTAATGCCTTGGCAGGGCCAGACTAAAAATGCTTTCTTGGGCCTCATACAGCTATGGGCTGGACGTTCCCCACCCTGGTGTATTACAAGGTGATTCTGCTTACACTAGGGGTCACCACAACTCTGGGATGTAAGCAGATCACGTTTTATTATTCTGTTTTTCCCTGCAGTCATGAAACCAAGGGGTCAAGAAACTAAGGTCATGATAATGTGATGCAACATTCAGGACCCAGATATTTCCGATTCACAATTTAATTCTGATTCAATAACCTAGTAAAATGAAATCTCATGGATCAAATTAGACCAGGGGGGAAGTGGGAGTCCCTCAGCACGGTAGTTGGACATCCTTAGCGCTGCTGCAGAGGCAGGAGAGGCTCCTGACACCTCCACTGCACTCCACTGCACTTGCCAGCCATGAGCCCGGCTTCTGGCTGATCAGCGCTCCCACTGTGGGGGCACACTGACCATCATGGGGCAGCTCCTCTGTTGAGCGTCTACTCCATGGTGGTCATAGTGACCAGTTGTTCTGCCGTTTGGTCAATTTGCATATTAGTCTTTTATTATATATGATGAGCTATAGACAGAATTTGGTAATGTATCCAAAAAAAGGAAAGAAGTATTAAAATGATTCTAAGTTTCTGACTTGGGAAAATATGTAGATAAGGGAGCCACCAACAGAAAAATGGATTACAGAAGATTATGTGAAAGGGGAAAATAACACGTGACCATTTTGATGAACAAATCATAGTGAGACTTCTATAGTCACAATAATATAAGAGAATCCTTTGGTCCAGTAGTATTTTGAAATCTATTCAGATCATATTATTTCCTTCCAAATGAAAAAAGCAATGTATACTTCATTACCACTACTCTTTCCAATGGGACCTTCTTGGGGCTTGGAATCAAGGCACACTGGGAAGAACCTGCCTTGAAAATATCCCACTAATACAGAATGTACTCACTGCACAACACGCAGGTAAGGAGAGAGGGACACTTTTCAGAAATTGCTATTGACTGAGATGCCCCATCCCCAAGTCCTAACTCCAGTACCTCAGATGTGTCTGTCCATGAAGACGAAGTCCTTAAAGAATGAATTAAGTTAAAATGAGGTCACTAGAGGGGTCCCTCATCTAATATGGCTGGTGTCCTTATTTGAAGACATGAGGACACCGAGAGGGAAGGCTATAGAGAGAAGGCGACCTTCTACACACCAAGCACAGAGGCCCAGAAGAAACCAACCCTGCTGCCACCTGGTTTTGGACTTTCCAGCCTCATAAGTGTGAGAAAAGTAATGCCAACTGTTTAAGAACCTAGTCTATGGTCATTTGTTCAGGCAGCACTAGCAATCTAATACAGAAACTTGAAGCTTTTCGATTTGTGTATGTTTTTAGAAAGAATTTCAATTTCCAAGGTGGATTTCTGCTTCCTCTTATTAAGAAAGTCTCACAGTATGCTGTTCTCTGTCTATAACTGAAGTGGTGGTTTGTTCCTTCCCATTTACCAACTTTCATTCTCTGTTGCTCATCTTCCCCGAAATGGCCCATGCCATTAGACCAGTAGGATGAATAATAGGATTCCAACAGTACAAGCACTTGCATGGAGTGGCTGGGCTTATTCAAGCATTCTTGTGCTTTGGGAAAGGGCTCCTAATTATTGGAATTAGAAAGGGGATATGTTCTGTTGATTAGATATTTACTTGTTTTAGTGTTTGTTGTTTTTTTCACTTTCCCCCTCCCCCAAGTGCACGGATCTCATGCACCGGGCCTCTAGTTATTCCATAAGATACCATAAGCCCTTTCTTTGATTTTGTATTCCTATCAAAATTATCCTTCCCCATCTCTCCCAGAAGTAAAGGATACCTTTGATTGAATATAGGAAAGGTTAACACCAAGAAAGTAAAAGGAATATATGCCAATCAATATTTGAAATATTGCCTTGCTATGTGAGTCTGTTTTCCTTCATTTAAAATTATTTAATGTCAATTAAATATAAATTTCTTATCTCTTGATAAGAAGCCTGTGTGTACATACTTTTGAAGAACACATACCTATTATCTATTTACTTTCCTCTTTGTACTTGATGCTTCATAATTGAAAAATGTATGACAATTGACAAGTTGGCTTTTACTTTCCTCCAGTGGTATGCCTGTAAATGTTTAAGTACCAGTCTTCAGGTGTCAGGGGCTTGATCTGTAGCATTTGCTGATATTTGTAGTATAAATACTCCCACTGTGACTCATTTTAAGTGACTTACATGAAGTCAACTGGCTTGAAAAATTCTTGAAAATGTAACAGTTGGTTCTTATAAAACAGTATTTCCAGCTCTGGCATACCACTGGTTTTCATCCCCACAAAGTGTTATATCAAGTCTTTAATATTCACTTTTCCTAACTTAGTCTTCTTTCTGTGCCTGAGAAATTCCTACTAATCTTTAAAAATACAGCTCAGATGTCCTCTCTTAGAATGCCCCCTCCACCTCCACTGCTGCCTTTCCAGGTGGCCCAACATTGCCTCATCATTGTTTGTCCTCATCACTAATTATAAGTGCTTTTACATTGAATTCATCACATTATTTTATTTCTTTACCTGTTTCTCAATTAGATTGCTAGTATTTTATAGCACTCAAATTTTATAGATGAGGAAATTGCTGCTCAGAGCCTAAAAGTGTAAGGAAACATCATATTTGTTCTGTGTGTGTGTGTGTGTGTGTGTGTGTGTGTGTGTGTTATATAACCTAGTATTTAAGAGAATGGATAGCTGAATACTCTAAAACTTACATTTACCTTTGTTTGACCTTAGACCAATGTTTTAGCTTTCCTAAGCCAAGGATTTTTCATCTATAAATAGCCATGATAATATGTGAGGTCAACGCCCTAGCTGGTTTGGCTCAGTGGATAGAGCATTAACCTGTGGTCTGAATGGTCCCAGGTTCAATTCTGGTCAAGGGTACATGCCTAGGTTGCAGGCTCGATTCCCAGTAGGGGGCGTGCAGGAGACAGCTGATCAATGATTCTCATCATTGATGTTTCTATCTCTCTCTCCCTCTTCCTTCCTGTCTGAAATCAATAAAAAAATATTAAAAAAAAATACGTGAGCTCATGAGGTTGTGGAAGTGCCTGTGAAGTGCAGCAGTGTGTGCCACCTGGGGACCAGTCAATAAATGGTAACTGTAGGCTATCTCCTAAGTGAAACACTTAGACGATCCTGCATTATAAATATAAGATATACTCACCTACATATGTGTCTTGCTAGATCGAAATAAGTTCAGTTTCAAATGAAAGAGAGCGTGCATTTTTTGAATGCCCATCCTTCCATTTTTTATCATGGTGCCTATAACATTATTTAAATCCTCAAATTTGAACACATAAACCACATTTCATTTTTTTTCTTTAATTATAGGCACTTCATAGTGTTGGTTGCATCAGTTTAATCGTTGGCTGACTAGTTTCTGCTTATGTCCCTTTAGCCTTTGCATGAAAGACTCCTTCCCTTTGACTGTCCAGTCCTGCATCATGCCGAAAGACTGTGAGACCACCGAGTGGTCCTCCTGGGGTCCCTGTTCCAAGACGTGTCGTTCAGGGAGCCTCTCGCCGGGATTCAGGAGCAGGAGCCGGAATGTGAAGCACATTGCTATCGGAGGTGGAAGGGAGTGCCCCGAACTTCTGGAGAAACAGGCCTGCATTGTCGAAGGAGAAAGTTTGCAGCCGTGTCCCAGGTACTGTGCATCCTGTGGTGTGAGTATTCAGGTTTCAATAAAACCTCATGTTATGTGATTTAGGGATGTTACAATAACAACAGAATCCGTGACTCATATGTGTTGAGTCTTTACTCAATGCAGAGTTCCATGCTAGTGTAGCACAGTAGGTTAAGAGCATGGGCTTTGGTACTGATTTTCTAGGTTCCAATCCTATTTCTGCGACTTTCTAATTATGTGAATTTCAGCAACTGACTAAATTCTAGTGTCTAGTTTATATCTCTACTAGCAGTATTTCATTCATCACCTGGCATAATAAATGCTCAATGACTGTTAGTTATCATTACCTGACATGTGATGCCTAACACTTTTAACAACCTAAGAAACCATTCATAGTATCTTCATTTTGCAAGTGAGGACATGACTGCTCAGAGAGATTAAATGATCCTTGAGGTTATAAAATTAATGAGTGGGAGTACCCCTTTTTTAATTCAGTTCTGCCTCTAGACCTAACTGCCATCCTATGGTATTCTATTACATCCCCCAGGAGCCAGAGGATGTTGGACATAAGGTTACCACCTATTAGTAGCTATAGTTTAACATCTTGATATTGGTTATATTTTATCTGGCTCATAGCCCTTGGGCAAGACCTCCAGTGTATTTTTCTTTGTGTGGTTGGCTCATGATGGGCCCGGTCTGATAATCACGGAAATCATTCATGGCTGGTTGTTCAGAGTGGGTTTGGGATGGATTTATGGTAACTCCTTTTAGACAGCTGCCCTGAAGTATATCTGCTAAATCTGCAGGTATTTGAGATAGACCTGTCCTATAGTTTCTAAGATATGAGAATCATTTTCCCAGCAAAAATGAAATGAGGCAAAACAAATAGCTTCTTGTAGAAATAAATCACATGTCGATATGGGAAGGGTAGTGGGTTATAAACTCAATAGGTGTTTTGATGGACTTGGCTATTTCTTAAACCTGAAATGATGGGCGTATTGGGTGGTGAGGGTAAATAGGGGGGCCAGTTTCTCTTGTCACATTCTTAGCTACTCACCTCCTATGCCTCCCCATTGATATCAGTGTAGATTTAGCATACACTTTATATACTGCTTGCTCATGTTTTTACTATGATGACTGTTAGGGTTGGGGCAATGACATGGCAATGAAAGAATTAACAACTGAGAGAAAAGATGCAGAGAGGAAATTTATTTTACTTTTCAAGGAGGAAAGGGCTGGTGTATTGCTACTCAATACAGGGCAGGCTTGTACTTTTAAAGAGCATCCAGTTACTGTTGCTAGGTGATAAGGAAGGGAGGGTAATTGTGTTGAAGTTAATCAGATTGGGGGGCGGGGTTGTGTTGAAAAGTTTCAGTTTGCTTTCCAGGAGACAGTCTTGCAAATGTCCTACGGTGGTCTCTTTATCAACTTCTTTTCAAGCCTGTAAAACGTGCTCATTGAAATTGTTATGAAGAGTTCAAAAGAGGCTGTCTGAAGGGGAGGGAGAAGAGAACTTTGTATTAATTGGAGAGTCTTTGGTGCAAATTATCTTGGAGTTGTTAAAACAGCAGGGTGGAGGGGATACAAGAATGCAACCTTGAGAGTAGTCTTAATTTGTTCTGAAGTTTGCACAGAGGAGCCAACAATCTTGGGACTTAATTACCAGGTGCGTCTTATAAATTGTGGAAAGGCCACAGCAAAGAAAAGGAGAGGCCTTTTTTTCTACCCTTATAATGACCCCTTAGATTCTGATTATTTTTACCTCAAAAGCAGACAGTAGGTGCATTTCATGATTCTTTACAGATTAAGATATTATCTCACAGAATTTTCCCTCATTTTGTTGAGTACATGTCCTATCTTTCAAATCACTAATTTTGGGGCAAAGCATGGTATTGGAAACAGCATAAAACGTGGGATCTCTGTCCTTGAAGTTGGATAGACCTGGATTAAAATGGCATCACTATCATTTATTAACTGCCTGTCCTTGGACAAACTGTACAATTTCTCTAAGATATTTAAGTCTTTAGCCCAGCTGGTGTTGCTCATTGATTGAGCTTCAATCCATGAACCAGGAGGTCACGGTTCAATTCCTGTTATGGCGAATGCCTGGGCTGTGGGCTTGATTCCCACCCAGTAGCAGGTGTGCAGCAGGCAGCTGATTGATGATTCTCTCATCAGTGATGTTTCTCTCTCCCTTTCCCTTCCTCTCTCTGAAATCAATATGTATATATTTTATGTCTAATTATGCTACCTATGTTGAAGGTTAAAAAGCTACATACCAGATATGTAAAATGTTAGTCCCAGTGAGAACAGTGACCTTTATTATTGCTATTTTGTGGTATTCTGATTTCCTTCAGAAGGAGAATCTCTCTTCCCATATAAGCTATACTGTGGTAATTAATTGTGGGTGATTTGGAAATCTTCTTTCTCCCTATGGAGGCAAAATTCAGAAATGTCCTCAATGGTGAACTTCCAGAAATTGAATCTGGTTTCAGTGTTGACCTTGAATGATATTGATGACTTTTTTCTTCATTCTTTTTCTGGAAGAAATGATGTCTTCCAGATTTTTAAATATTATTTTGATTTATAGACATTACTCCACTTTTCCTTCTTTGTTGATAACTATTACAATTCTCTTGGAAGTCAGGGTGGTGCCTTCCTGAGGTTGCAAAGAAAGTTGACTTTCATCTACATTTGTTAAATAGTCACTGCACTTTTTGAGACTTACAAAGTCAGAGATTCTGTAAAGATCTTTTAGAATAACACAGTTTATCATCCAAAGGCAAACTTTGAGAGTAAAAGGAATATACATTTGCTGGAAGCCGGTCCATCCTTGCTGCTTGAAACAGTCGCTGCAGGGAAGAAACATCTGCACAGCATATGTTTCAAGGGACCTGGCGTATATGGCATACTGTTCTTAATATGTTTGCTCTCCTTCTTGGGGCTATGTGTTTTAACCAAGGTCACCTCTCCCAGGTTGTTTCCCCAGGTGGGGATTTTTCCCTGAAGTCAGGGAGGGGATGAAACTCCTTAACTAAATGCCAGATGAACAATAAATGACAGAACCTGGCTGGAGAACCTACCTAGACAAAACTTGGCTGGAGATCCTGGCTAGAGATCCTGGGTAGGCTGCTGATAACTGAACGCTGTCTCCATGTCATTTCTTCTTCGCTGACTCTGTCCACACCTTTGGGGACCCCTGGACCTGCTGGGGTTCGACCCTAACATCTGGCGCCCGAACAGAAGCAGTAGCCGGACACCAGGTGCTGTGGCCGCTGCCTTTTTAGCCTCCCTGGCATCGGCTCCTCCACCCGAGCCACAGCAGAGGCGACCAGCGTGGAAAGCCTTCGCAGCGAGAACCTATCTATCGTCTTCCCCTCGCCTCTCACCAGCTCTTGCTTCGGGCCAGGCTCACTGGTCCCTGGGCTCCGGGTACCCCCGCAGGCGTGGGGCTGCTGGGGCTGAGCCAGGTCTCCTCCTCGGCTTCAAGAACAGATGCCTGCGGAGCTGCAGGCTGCCAGCCTGCCGGGGACGCCCACAGGCGTGGGGGCTCGGCGGCTTAACCCGCGGCTCACCCCCTTCCGACCCCGGAGGCTCCTGAGCGGTTGTCCCTAGCGGCCCGGCTTGGACCGAGAGAGTCCCGAGCCGTCCTCCTCCCGTCACCAGGTCCTGACCTAGACCGACCCTGGGCGCCTCCCAGCCACCGCCTCCCAAGAGCCCGGGCCACGCTCAGCGGGTTTCCAGGCCACAGCCATGGGTTGCTGGAGCCAGAACCGGGGCGGCTTCTGTGCATGCTGCTGCTGACCTTCATGTTCATGGTGCTGGAGATGGTGGTGAGCCAGGTGACCTCGTCGCTGGCGATGCTCTCCGACTCCTTCCACATGCTGTCGGACGTGCTGGCGCTCGTGGTGGCGCTGGTGGCCGAGCGCTTCGCCCAGCGGACCCACGCCACCCAGAAGAACACGTTTGGCTGGATCCGGGCCGAGGTGATGGGGGCTCTGGTGAACGCCATCTTCCTGACCGGCCTCTGCTTCGCCATCCTGCTGGAGGCCATCGAGCGCTTCATCGAGCCATTGAGCCGCCCGCGATGCAGCAGCCGCTGATGATCCTCGCGGTCGGCGTGGCAGGGCTGGTGGTCAACGTGCTGGGGCTGTGCCTCTTCCACCATCACAGCGGCTTCGGCAACAACTCCGGCCACGGCCACTCGCACGGGGGTCACGGCCACACCAGAGCAGCCACCGGGGGGACAGCGACCACAGGAACCCGGGCGGCCAGGGACCCGACCAGGAGGAGACCAACACTTTGGTGGGCGGGGCAGATCCGGAAAAGTCCAGAACTGATGCAGCAGATGTACAAATGAATGGGAATGTTATCAGAGAAGCTGATAATATGGATTTGGAAGATGAAGCAGATGAAGCTCAAAAGGCTGGACAACTTAACATGCGGAGTTTTTCTGCATGTCTTTGGAGATGCTTTGGGTTCAGTGATTGTAGTCGTGAATGCCTTGGTCTTTTACTTTTATTGGGATAGTTGTCCTGAAGGGAGGTTCTGTGAAAACCCGTGTATCGCTGACCCCTGCAAAGCGCTTGTGGAAATAATCAATAGTACTCAAGGGACAGTTTTTGAGGCTGGTCCTGGCTGGGTGCTATATTTAGATCCAACGCTTTCTTTGTATGGTAATGGTTTGTATACTTCTTTACACAACTTATCCATTACTTAAGGAATCTGCTCTTATTCTTCTACAAACTGTTCCTAGCAAATTGATATCAGAAATTTGATAAAAGAACTTCGAAATGTTGAAGGAGTTGAGGAAGTTCATGAATTACATGTTTGGCAACTTGCTGGAAGCAGAATCATTGCCACTGCTCACATAAAATGTGAAGATCCAACATCATACATGCAGGTGGCTAAGACCATCAAAGACGTTTTTCATAATCACGGAATTCACACAACTACCATTCAGCCTGAGTTTGCTAGTGTCGACTTTAAATCAAGTGTAGTCCCATGTGAACTTGCCTG